GGCCCCTATATTATCTGCCTGGAGCGGACTTGCCTTGTCCTAAACGACAGCACAGCCCACATCCCTGCCTGGATCGGATTTACCTTGCTGCTCCAGGGAAAGTAGACTTCGTCGATCAGAGAGCTTCTCAGGGATGTGCCCTTGCAGTGGACTTCCTGGCGCTGAAGGCGTAGGGTTCCGGGTGCATCTATTCCGCAAAAACCGTCTTACTAAAAGGGGCAGGATGCGAATAACAAGGATGCCACGTACATTCGGCGTGGCCTGTTGGCCCTCTGGTTGTTCTGCACTCCGGCATATAGGACATTGAAGGCACAAGCCCTCACCAGCCGTTAACGCGTGAACTGAAGCTGATAGTCCTCACACTCCATGCCTGAAGCTTGAAACCCTCAAACCTCAAAGTCCTTGACCAACAAGTCTTCAACGCCAAACCGCTAAACCTCCACACCCTAATTAACCCGAAACCCTAAACCCCAAACCCTCTTTTTCTCCATTGAATTCACCCTATGCCTTGCGGGACCCGAGAGGCCCGCAGGGCGCTGGTCCTCAAAGTCTGGAGGAGGTAGAGGGATACCATGAGGCCTCCACCTTTCTCGCAGGCGCCACAGGCAGCGGTAAAACTGACCACATCGGGCATCAACCTCTTCCGAGGCAGCTGGGAAAACAAAAGAAGAGCCATCTGCCATGCATTCCCGATCTCACAGGCCGAAATGCAAGCGCTGAAGCTGATGGTTTCGGGTGACATCTCGGCGGAGAGCTCTGAAAGCAGGCAAAGGGCGGCTTGCCATTTGCCCGACCTCTCGCAGGCAGTAAGGCAAGCATTAAAGCTGATCACATCCCGTCGAACTCTGACTGTCGGCATAAGTGCTAAGAGATGCAAAGCCTGTGTCCAGATATTGCCCTTCTCACATGCGCTGATGCCTGCATTGAAGCTGATTCCATTTGGCCGAAGCTCCGTCGAAGACATCGATTCCATCAAGTGGATTGCCATCCGCCATTCGCTGGATTTTGCACAGGCGCTCATGCTGGCGTTGAAACTCACTCTGCTAAGTTCCAGCCTCGTTGCAGACAACTGCGACAGTAGTTGCAGAGCGAGTTGCCATTCGCCTGCTTTCTCACAAGCACTGATGGCCGCATTAAAGCTAACTTGATTGGGCGACACCTTGGCCAACGACATCTGAGCTAGTTGGTGCAGTGCCATCTGCCACTCGCCGCCCTTTTCACATGCACTGATGCTTGCACTGAAGCTTATTACACTGGGGTGGAGCCTTTCAATAGCAATCTGTGAGAACAGATGGAGCGCCTTTTGCCACTCACTGCCTTTCTCACAGGCCGTGATGCCGGCATTAAAACTAATCACATTGGGCACAACACCCGCTTCGGGCAGTTGTGACAAAAGCATCAGGGACTTCTGCCATTGACCACAGCTCGCGCAAGCACTGATCGTTGCCTAGGTTGGGCCCTCAAAGGCTCTGACAAATATGGCAAATAAGATCCCCTCATGCCCAATAAGGGAAATATAAAATATCCCAAAGCCTTACCTAGTTGCACTAAAGCTGAACACATTTGGGGCAGTACGGCTCGACTTCATCTGGAAGAGCAATCCGACCGCACGTTGCCACTGCAAGCCCTTCTCACAAGCAGTGATAGCAGCACTAAAGCTTTGGACAGTGGGCACCACCTGAAGCAGGGCTTGCATTGTTAGTATGCCAGCACTAAGCCACTAAGCTCTAAACCCTATACTTCTAAACCCTTCCACCCCACACTCCGACTGATACATACAACTAACCCCTAAACACCTAAACCCTATAAACTTCTAAACCCTAAACCCTAAACCCCCAAAGCCCCTGGAGCCCTGCGTCCTTCCCGACCTGACTTCTCAGAATATCTGCCAGGACTTGGACCGCGACATGCCACCTCTCTGCTTCAACAACCAGGCCCCAAACGGGCTCAACCCCCTTTTAGCACAGTCCTATATATATATATATAATTATATATATATATATATGTATAAAGCCTCTTTTTCGACAACAAGGCCCAAGAAAAGTCAACCTTGTTAGGATGGTCCTAAGATAAAAGGCCCCACATATTTCAAAATTGTCCTCATATCGAAGGCCCCAAAAAATGTCCTAGTATAGAAGGCCCCAGAAATTTTAAGATGCTCCTAATATAGAAGGCCCCAAACAATTTTAAAGTTCCCCCCTTGGCAATCCAAGCCACTGCTGGGCATGTCCACAGCAGGTGATGACCTGGGAGGCTTCGGGTTTAGGGGTTTAGGGGTTAAGGTACCCTAAACTTCGGGCTTAGCATTTAGGGTTTAGGGTAGCGCTTAGGGCTCAGGGCTTAGGCCTGTGGGTTTAGGGTTTAGGGGCCTAGGGGTTTAGGATATGTGATATATGTCCAGTATGAATGAATGGATGGATGTAGCTGGGGATGCCTGTACTTAAGAGCCAAAAATACTTATATACATGCCTTACACGCATACTTATACGTCTGTGCATGCATGCATGCACATACATACATGTTCATGCGGCAATCCATGCCAATATCTGTGCGTCTAAGTACCAAACACATAAGCTAGCAACAATAACAACACAAAACAAACAACCATACACTTAATTTGTAAGTACCAGCTGACATCATGATGCATATGTTCTAAACACACATAAATAACTAGAGCCGTGCCAAGGCTATCCGGCTTTCGCGGTTGAATGCATGCTTCTTTTGTATGGGGCAGCTGTAGCCGTGTCGAGTCTGTCGTGTGTTCCTCAAGTCTCGCTATCTATGTGATTGAATGTGCTACTAAACACCGCGCTACGAACATGATTAAATTCTTAAGCAGACGCGCTGGGCTTTCAGCAGATCTTCAAGAAGCGATGCTGTTTATCAGTGGTTGAATCGATGTTTCCAGTCTGGATCAGTCTGCACTGCCAGTTATGCATGATAAAGATCGCAAGGGTGAGCGGTGTTGCCTCTTTCGACTGTCGTAATAAACATTGGGGAAGGCCCATTTTGGAACAACCCTGTGCCTCACGGAATGCCTTCTGGTCTCCTGGGCCGGGCATGCCCTGCAGCATATGGACAGCAAGTTCCCATTGGAACGCAGCAGCTGCCCCACCCATTGCTGCCCATGCTAAAACTTCCGCCCTGCGTTTAGGGTTTAGGGTTTGGTTTAGGGTTTAGGGTTTAGGGTTTAGGGTATAAGGTTTAGGGTTTAGGGTTTAGGGCCCTGCCGGGAATGCGGTCATCCTCACCGAAAGGGGACGGTCTGTTTAAGGCTTGAGCCCACCCAGATCGCCCACAGCCCAAAATGTTAAAGCCGGCATAAAGACGGACAACCGATAAATCAGCAAATGCCCCTGCACCCCAAATCCCAAACCACTGAAACCCTAGAAATGTATAGAGAAATATATCACCTACCCCCCCCAGGTACCTACTATATAGGGTACTAGAGGCCCCAGGGCCCTATATAGTAGGTACCCGGAGGGTCAGACTACCAGACTACCAGGTAACTTAGCTGCGGCTAACCCTAGACCCTAAACCCTAAACCCTAAACCCTAAACCCTAAACCCTACTGAACTAGTCTTGGCCATCCTCGTGGCTCGGACCTTAGAGCCCCAATACGACTGAATTCAGGAACATACCTTCAATGATCGGGGAGTATAGGGTTTAGGGTTTGGTTTAGGGTTTAGGGTTTAGGGTTTAGGGTTTAGGGTTTAGGGTTTAGGGTTTAGGGTTTAGGGTTTAGGGGATGCTTCAGGATGCGTGGGGTCGGTATATCATTCAGAGTTTTAAAGCGGAGTTGGCTCTCTGGACAGCGTCTCAGACTAGTCTTGTCAGCTGAGTTACGTAATATCCCGACATCCCGGTGCTGAAACCTGAGCTCGACCATAAATTTAGGGTTTAGGGTGCAGGGTGCAGGGTTTAGGGTTTAGGGTTTAGGGTGCAGGGTTAGGATCCTACAATACTACATGTCAGAGTTTGCATGAGGGTCCTGGGTCTGGGATTTTGGGGTTGAGGGTTGCAAGCTGAGCTCCAAACGGCCACGTATTAGCGCGAAACCCTGAAGCAGTACAATAGGGGCCTGAATAATTCCATTGAGGTGTTGGGGGTATACATGGTACCATGGTTCTATACGGACTACATGGAGACATCATAACCAACCACTCAGACCTCTATATTGCATCCTTTACGCCCGGACAACCTAGCAAGCAAAAACAAATCAAGGTAGGAGGACCGACAGACAGACCTCGAGTCTGCCGAAACCGTAAGGACTGCAACGCCCTAAAACCCTTGACACCGAAATCCCCTAAACCACGCGAGCCCTAGACCAACAACTTAAGGTACACCAAAAAGCAATGCCCAACATTAACAAAATCTAACTAAATCCATGGCTCTGCTTATAAACTCACAAAATATCAAGATTCTATAACACTCTCAAAAATCCGAAGCCTGCAAAGCAACACCTCAAAACCTGCACACACCCAGGCCTGAACCCAAACAAAACGCAAGCAAACAACAACGGAGCTTAGGTTTAGGGTTTTGGGTTTAGGGCTTAGGGTTTAGGGCTTACGGTTTAGGGTTTAGGGCTTACGGTTTAGGGTTTAGGGCTTAGGGTTTAGGTTTAGGGTGCAGGGCTTCGGGTTTAGGAACAACAGTGGAGCACCTAAACCTTGAGCGGCGCAGAAAGTCCGTCGAAAGCTCTATCAATGAGAACCCCGAAAACCTTCAACCTCCCATTGAAACAGAATCACTTCTGAGCTCTGGACAAGCCCGATTGTACAAAGAACCAGGTTTAGGGTTTAGGGTCCAGGGGTTTCGGGTGCATGGGATTTAGGCGTAGTTTTTTTTTAACCCAAACCCAACCCTAAAACCCTAAACCCTAAAACCCTAAACCCTAAACCATAAACCCCAACCCTTTTCAACCCAGAATGGCACGAAGATGCAGCGTCCTTGTGAGTCGGATTGATCAGGCCGGACTCCAGGCAACTTTTCAGGGTGGTGTCGGCCTGCCGTCTTCTTTGATGAGGGATCCTCTAGGGATTGGGGTTCAGGGTTTAGGGTTTAGGGTTTGGGGTTTAGGGCTCCTTTAGGGATTGGGGTTTAGGGTTTAGGGCTCAGGGTTCCTTTAGGGATTGGGGTTTAGGGTTCAGGGTTCCTTTAGGGTTTGGGGTTTAGGGTTCAGGGTTAGGGTTCCTTTAGTTTGGGGTTTAGGGTTCAGGGTTCCTTGAAGGGTTCTTCTAAGGGAATCTATATTGGAGGGACCGAGAGCTTTTAGTCTGATGCCGGAGTCGGTGTCCGGTCTCTCTTTGATGGCGGGGGTTCCTTGATATACAGAGGTCCTTATTAAAAGAAACCCGAGAAGGAACCCTTGAGGGAGCCTTTAAAGAAACCCGAGAAGGAACCCATAAAGGAACCCTATATAGGCTTTAAGGTTCCTTGAAAGCCCAACTCAGCTGCTACTATGCCCGAAAGCTGCTACAGGGAAGCTTAGGCTCTGTCTGGGCTACTTAAGGTCACTCATCATCATTTAGGGTTTAGGGTTTGGGGTTTTAGGGCTTCAGGTTTCGGTTTAGGGTTCAGGGTTTAGGATTTAAGGTTTAAGGTTTAGGGTTTAGGGTTTAAGGTTTAAGGTTTAAGGTTTAAGGTTTAGGGTTTAGGGTTTAAGGTTTAAGGTTTAGGGTTTAAGGTTGGGTTTAGGGTTTAAGGTTTAAGGTTTAGGGTTGGGGCCCGTGGAATCGCACTTCACTGTGACTTCGGGTGCGGGATTCGGGGCTCCGGTTCAGAGTCTACCACAAAAGCTATATTTTCGGTAGGTTCTTATTCTAGACCCCCCCAACATGGTAATCTATAATTAGGGACCCCACGAACAAGTACGTTCTGGTAGGTTAAGATAGGGATTGGGATTGAGTAAGTCTGGAGGCATGGGAGAGCATGCCGACACCGAGCTAAGGAACAAAAACTGGAGTTCAGCGTCTCTGTTTGGTTTGCAACTCTTTAGGTCCTTGAGGGGCTCTCAGATCCCTGGCCTCGAAGTGCTCCATAAGCCCGCAGTTCTCTGCGACATCACTGACCCTCGGAGGAGCTATGTTTTTGAGGGCGGCGCATGGCAGGGACAAATCGCCTGCCGGGCCCCGCAGTGCGTGTTTCCCTCGGTTTAAGGTTCCACGGTCATCCTGATCATGCACGGCAACTTGCGTCGATCGGAAGCCAAGTTTGATCGTTGTGTCTTTGCCTCGTCTGGCGACGCCTCTTTGGCGCTGCATCCCGTGCGCCATAAGACCTGCAAAGAAGTCCTCGGCAGGGTTCCTGGAGGAACAGTTCTGCCACAATTTTCCACCCTGGAGCATAGCCCTTTCCTCACCCCCTCGCAAAACCCTAAGCCCTACACCTAAACCCTAAAC